GGAGGAGCCGGCCGGCGAGGCCGCGGCGGCGGCGGCCCTCGTGCCCGGGAGCGCCGAGGTGAAACCGTGCGCCGCGCCCGAGCGGGTCGTGGACCCCAGCGACATCAGCCCCAGCGCCCTGCACGCCGCCGTGAGGGACTCCCAGCTGAACATCGTCCAGGTGGAGGACGACGTCCCCGGGCTGGGCGCCTCCTGCCTCTACCTGGTCCCCTCCGCGCCGGGGGAGGGGGAGCAGGAGGAGGTGGGGGCCCCTCTCCGCGGTCGGGAGGCCGGGGCGGGGCCGGCCGAGGCCGAGGAGCCCGGGAAGAGAGAGCCCAAGGAAAACGGGCTCGTGCGGATTTACACGGGCGTGTGCGAGCAGCTCATGGCCCTGAACGAGGGGGACGGGAATCTGGACCCCGGCCGGCACGCTCAGCGGGAAGCCGGACGGAACCCGCGCTGCCCGCCGGCCTGCGCCCCCGCTGAATCGCTGTCCTGTCGGAGCGCTCGGCCTGGACGCAGCGCGGCAGAGCTCGGGCCCGGCGCGGATCTCGCCGCGGGGGAGAGCATCGCGCCTGTCAAGCGTAAGTAGGGCTGCCGCCTCTCTCCACCAGGGCCAATCAGGCGCTGAGAGAGAGGCAGCAGACCAAATCTATTCTTCGAGTAGTCGGGCCCCCGAGTGCCCCCCTACGCTCGGAGTAGACGTGCGACCCCCCCCACCCGTGAAAAGTCAGTTTTTGTAAAAAAAAAAATTAACTCCCGTCCTGGTTTGAGACTTTCATCCAGATGTTTCTTGAGAGAAGCCAGGGAATTGACTTCAACAACATGGCTGGGCTGCTTGTTCCACACCCCTACCAACCTTTGTGTAAAGTAAGACCCCACCCCCCCTCCTGGTAGAAGGATACTCCAGCAAGAGTACCAGAGTATTTGGCTTCATCAGCATGGCGGTATATCTTGTTTCACACTCCTGCCACCCTTTGTGTAAAGGCTTACATGCTCTTCTCAGCTTTCTCAGTCAGACTAGGCTGTTGTGCATCTGGATGAAGGGGCTGCTCTGTATGTATCTCAGTATTGTCCCCACTTTATTCCCGGACTTCAGAAAGCCCAAACCCCCTGACTGGGGGGGGGGGATCGTCCCAAGGAGAGGCACTTAGATGTTTTAGTGAAGCTGTTATAACACACAAGTAAGTTCTGGACCCCGAGATGAAGCTGAGCAAGTGAGTTTTATTGCACGCGAGGAACAGTACATTCAGAATTGCTCGAAGTTTATAGGTGCAGAGCTCCAGTTTATATAGCAAACTGCAGC